CAGACCAGATAATGCCGCTAAAGAAGCAATGGTATTGCCATCAGCACTTCTAATTCCCACAGGAAATAGCAATTATAATCAGGAATTACAAATATGGAATTACAACCCCCTAATTCCAAATGAAAGGGAGATGCCCATTCTCAGCTCTGCTGCAAAGCAAGGGATGTAATGAACTTGGTCCAGAGGGGATTTGGGTGTGATGCAAATAGGTCAAAAAACACCTCCTGGGCCACTCTTCAAATTAATGCATGAGAGATGAACCAATTCATGGATTGTAGTCTACATCGGCCTCTTTCCATTATTGCGACTCTGCCCCCAGCTGACTTGACCATGCATGGTGCTGTGAGTAGGTTGGACCAAAATCAATGGCGGGTTCTGTAAATCCTTCAGCCAAAGTTATTGTTCCTGTTCAATTTCAGGGCTCATTCTAACTTCATGACAGTAAGGCTAATATTTCATTCCTACCCTACAACCACTTGGTTGTCCTCCCACCTGATGGTCTGATTCATTCCGTATGGCATATAATGTGAGAGATGAACATGGTCGTACAATGGTATACTAGTCAACTCATACTCAAAAGAGATATGAATGGAGGCAAATAAAAGAGACGTTATGATCTGCATGAAAGCTGAGGAATGGATCATCTGAGCATCAACAGTGTGATGCAGAACCTCATTAGCTACATCCATAGGAGTCTAGTGTCTAGATCAGTGGTTCTCAACCTATGGGTCCCTAGATGTTTTGGCCTTCATCTCTCAGAAATCCTAACAGCCAAAACACCTGAGGACCTATAGGTTGAAAGCTGAGGAATGGATCATCTAAGCATCTAAGGACCCTACAAATGGAGATCTACGTCAACAGTGTGATGCAGAACCTCGTATATGATTCTAGGCTACATCCATAGGAGTCTAGTGTCTAGATCAGTGGTTCTCAACCTGTGGGTCCCCAGATGTTGTGGCCTTCATCTCCCAGAAATCCTAACAGCTGGTAAACTGGGAGTTGTAGGCCAAAACACCTGAGGACCTACAGGTCGAGAACCACTGATCTAGACACTAGACTTCTATGGATGCAGCCTAGAATCATATATGAGATTCTGCATCACACTGTTGACTTAGATCTCCATCTGTAGGGTCCTTAGATGCTTAGATGATCCATTTCTCAGCTTTCACACAGATAATAACATCTTCTTTATTAGCCTCCATGCATATCTCTTTTGAGTATGAATTGACCAGTGTACCATTGTATGACCACATCACCTGGGTCGGTTACGTCTTCCTTCAGTCTAGACCAGTGGTTCTCAACATGGTCGTACAATGGTAAACTGGCAAACTCATACTCAAAAGAGATATGAATGGAGGCTAATCTTGTCTCCTGCATATGTCATCAGTTGGGGACCCCTCCCCCAGCACCAACTGCCACTCTGGGCCAGAATGAAGAGAGAGGGGGTCAGGGGACAGTTCCATCTTGTCTCCTGCATATTTCATCAGTTTGGGACCCCTCCCCCAGCACTAACTGCAGCTCTGGTCCAGAGTAAAGAGAGAGGGGTCCAGGGGACAGTTCCATCTTGTCTCCTGCCTATGTCATCAGCTGGGGACCCCTCCCCCGAGCACCAATTGCTGCTCTGGGCCAGAGTGAAGAGAGAAGGGGCCAGGGGACAGTTTCACCTTGTCTCCTGCATATGTTATCAGCTGGGGACCCCTCCCCGAAGCACCAACTGCTGCTCTGGGCCAGAGTGAAGAGAGAGGGGGCCAGGGGACAGTTTCACCTTGTCTCCCACATATGTCATCAGTTGGGGAATCTCTCTCCCCAGCACCAACTGCTGCTCTGGGCCAGAGTGAAGAGAGAAGGGGAAATGGGACAGTTACATCTTGTTTCTGCATATGTCATCAGCTGGGGACCCCCCCCCCAGCACTAACTGCCCTGGGCCAGAGTGAAGAGAGAAGGGGCCAGGGGACAGTTTCACCTTGTCTCCCACATATGTCATCAGTTGGGGAATCTCTCTCCCCAGCACCAACTGCTGCTCTGGGCCAGAGTGAAGAGAGAAGGGGAAATGGGACAGTTACATCTTGTTTCTGCATATGTCATCAGCTGGGGACCCCCCCCCCCCAGCACCAACTGCTGCTCTGGGCCAGAGTGAAGAGAGAGGGAGCCAGGGGACAGTTCCATCTTGTCCCCTGCATATGTCATCAGGGACCCCTCCCCCCAGCACCAACTGCCGCTCTGGGCCAGAGTGAAGAGAGAGGGAGCCAGGGGACAGTTCCATCTTGTCCCCTGCATTTGTCATCAGTTGGGGACCCCTCCCCCCAGCACCAACTGCTGCTCTGGGCCAAAGTGAAGAGAGGGGGGACAGGTCTGTCTTGTCTCCTGCATATGTCATCAGTTGTAGACCCCTACTCCAGCACCAACTGCTGCTCTGGGGCCAGAGTGAAGAGAGAGGTGCCAGGGGACAGTTCCATCTTGTCTCCTGCCTATGTCATCAGCTGGGAACCCCTCCCCCAGCACCAATTGCTGATCTGGGCCAGAGTGAAGAGAGAGGGGGCCAGGGGACAGTTTCATCTTGTCTCCTGCATATGTTATCAGCTGGGGATCCCTCCCACCAGCAGCAACTGCTGCTCTGGGGCAGAGTGAAGAGAGAGGGGGCCAGGGGACAGTTTCACCTTGTCTCCCGCATATGTCATCAGTTGGGGATCTCTTTCCCCAGTACCAACTGCTGCTCTGGGGCCAGAGTGAAGAGAGAGAGGGGGGGACAGGGGACCGTTCCATCTTGTCTCCTGCATATGTCATCAGTTGGGGACCCCTCCCCCAGCACCAACTGCTGCTCTGGGCCAGAGTGAAGAGAGAGGGGGACAGGGGACAGTTCCGTCTTGTCTCCTGCATATGTCATCAGTTGGGGATCCCTCCCGCCAGCACCAACTGCTGCTTTGGGCCAGAGTGTAAAGAGAGGGGGCAGTTCCATCTTGTCTCCTGCATATGTCATCAGTTGGGGTTCCCTCCCCCTAGCACCAACTACTGCCCTGGGCCAGAGTGAAGAAAGAGGGGGCCAGGGGACAGTTCCATCTTGTCTCCTGCATATGTCATCAGTTGGAGAGCCCCCCCCCCCTGCACCAGCTGCTGCTCTGGGGCCAAAGTGAAGAGGGGGGGGGACCAGGGGACAGTTCCATCTTGTCTCCTGCATATGTCATCAGCTGGGGACCCCTCCCTCCAGCACCAACTGCTGCTCTGGGGCCAGAGTGAAGAGAGAGAGGACAGGGGACAGTTCCATCTTGTCTCCTACATATGTCATCAGTTGTAGACCCCTCCCCCAGCACCAACTGCTGCTCTGGGGCCAGAGTGAAGAGAGAGAGGACAGGGGACAGTTCCATCTTGTCTCCTGCATATGTCATCATTTGGGGACCCCTCCCCTCAGCACCAACTGCTGCTCTGGGGCCAAAGTGAGGAGAGGGGGGGACCAGGGGACAATTCCATCTTGTCTCCTGCATATGTCATCAGCTGGGGACCCCTCTCCCCAGCACCAACTGCCGCTCTGGGCAAAAGTGAAAAGAGGTCAGTTCCAGAGGTCAGTTCCATCTTGTCTCCTGCATATGTCATCAGTTGGAGAGCGCTCCCCCCTGCACCACCTGCTGCTCTGGGGCCAAAGTGAAGAGGGGGGGGGCAGGGGACAGTTCCATCTTGTCTCCTCCATATGTCATCATCTGGGGACCCCTCTCCCCAGCACCAACTACTGCTCTGGGCCAGAGTGGAGAGGGGGACGGGGGACAGTTCCATCTTGTCTCCTGCATATGTCATCATTGGTTGGCAGCATTTGCCCATCCCAAATAAGGAGTCAGATTACATCCTACTGATTATTATGGGATCTCATTCTTGGCTCGATTTTAGCCACAGGTTGCAGACATTTATCAACAACACCTTTGTGCAATTTAATTTTTTTGGTATTTTTATTAAACACAAAGAACAACAACATTTTCCATACCATACAACGCATGCGTAAGGCTCAATGTGAATGGATTGAAAACTACTTTAACACATAATACTAAGAAAAACAAAGCAGGCGGAGGCAGTAGGGTTGATTTGCATAATTTGCATTCTTAAAATACTAATCTAATACAGACTTGACTATCATATTGTCAACAGAGCTAAGAAACATAGGATAATACCTATTTAAGATAATTTCTAGTGTTTATCAAACCCTACAATTGAGGACCTGTTTCAATCATCTCCAATATATGCAAATGATATCACATTAATGCTTTGTGCAAGAGAGAGAGAAAGTGTGTTTGAGAGAGAGAGGGAGAGAGAGAGAGAGAGAGAGAGAGAGGACATTCAGGATTCATCTATGTCAGTGGTTCTCAATCTGTGGGTCTTGCTTTGGTCTTCAACTCCCATAAATCCTAACAGTTGGTAATGTGGTTGGGATTTCTGGGAGTTGTAGTCCAAAACACCTGGGGACCCACAGGTTGAGAACCACTGATCTACATGATAGGGAGAGAGGACATTCAGGTTGCATCTACATCAGTGGTTCTCAACCTGTGGGTCTTTTTTTGGCCTTCAACTCCCATAAATCCTAACAGTTGGTAATCTGGTTGGGATTTCTGGGAGTTGTAGTCCAACCTGGGGGACCCACAGGTTGAGAATCACTGATCTACATGATAGGGAGAGAGGACATTCAGGTTGCATCTACATCAGTGGTTCTCAGCCTGTGGGTCTTGTTTTGGCCTTCAACTCCCATAAATCCTAACAGTTGGTAATCTGGCTGAGATTTCTGGGAGTTGTACTCCAAAACACCTGGGGACCCACAGGTTGAGAACCATTAATCTACATGATCGGAGGATTTCGCTATAACTGCCCTGGAACGTGAATCCTGGGAGTTGCAGTTGACCCTCTTTAACCAAGAAGACCTTTCAGAACCACAACTCCCATGAGCCATTACTTTGAGCCTTAGCAGTTAAGGTGGGGCCAATCCGCCTTCTTTCCACAATGTAGGTGAGCCCTCAAAGCAATCTTTAATTCTCGCTGACACACTCATGGTGAGCTTCCACTGGTTTGCAGTATTTCAGCAACGGGGACCACCGGTAGTCCATGGAGAATTGTTGCACGATGGGGCGCGTGATGGTTATATCGTTGGATTCGGGTGAACCGTTGTCACAACCATAGGATGGCTCTTTGTCGCAGCCTGTTGATGCTTTGTTCCCACTCCAATCTAGGGCTGCCCCAATGTTTTCCCCGATTCTCCATTCCATTTTGCACTGCTGGATATCACAATCTCTCCAAGTCATGATTCCATAATTTTCATTGGCAGGGGGCAGAGAATTGTGGTCATGGTTAGCCATCTCCTCCATTGGCTTCCCTTCGGTGGCTTCTAAATTAACATTTCCACGGTCCACATCCGTGTCTCCTGAACCTTCCTTTGGAGTTGGGTCTTCCTGCCCGATCCCATTGCTATCGTTTCCACAGAACACAGAAGGTGGGTTGACTTGGATCTTCTCTGGAGGTTCTCTTTCGACCTCAACCAGGTTTGGGTTTCCATCAGATAGAAGGACATCTCCATTACCGGTCATCGCTTCTGAAGTCTGCTTTCGGATGATGAGAATCCGCGGAGTTTTGCAAAGAAAGTTTGTTGGTTTTGTGGCACTGGGAGAGTCTTTGGCATCCATTGTTCCCAGCAATGGAGGTGATGTCCCTAAAGAAAGAAACAACATCTTTGAAGGACACAGCGGAAGAAGATTCCAGACAAACGAGAGAAGGAAATATCTTTGGATGCTTCTACAACAGTGTTTCTCAACCTGGGGGTCGAGACCCCAGGTTGTCAGAGGGGTCACCAAAAACCATCAGAAAGTATTTTCCAGGTTGTTGTAGGTTTTTCCAGGCTATATGGCCATGTTCTAGAGGCACTTTCTCCTGACGTTTCGCCTGGCAAGCATCCTCAGAGGTAGTGAGGTCTGTTGGAACTAGGAAAACTGGGTTTATATATCTGTGGAATGACCAAGGTGGGACTAAGGACTTTTGTCTGCTGGAGCTAGGTGTGAATGTTTCAACTGACCACCTTGCTTCATTCACACCTTGAAACATTCACATCATTCGCATCTTGAAACATTGAAACTGACCACCTTGATTCATTCACACCTTGAAACATTCACATCATTCGCATCTTGAAACATTCGCATCTTGAAAAATGATAAAACCCTGGATGAGGTAGGAATAGAAAATTAATTAATTAATTAATTATAATTAATTAATCAATTAATTAAAATTAAATAAATTAAGCAAATATAATCAACATTTATAAAGCATTTGGTATAATAACAAAAATTATTGGGATATCTTCAACACTTAACAGATTTCATGAGACCCAAAATTTGCGTACAGCAATCTACTCCAAGTGAAGAAATATATATATCCAGCCAGGAAATATACATCCTAATTTTATCGGAGACTTAGGATACCAAGGATAAATCTCATTCTAAAGCATTTGCATATGTTTTACCTAAATCTATAAACAAGGAGTTGAAATAACACAGAAACTGCATCTGGTCTAGTCTTGGAAAGATTGGGCTGGATGGTCCTTGTGGTCTTGGTCAACTCTATGTTTCTTTAAGTAGGAGTCAACCTGGTTACTACTTGGATGAGTGATTACCAAGAAGTACCAGGGACTTGATTCTTGGTTGGTTCTATTTCTGAGGATAGAACTGGCAAAATCATCTCTGCGTCTTCCTTGTCTAAGAAATTCATGGGGTCACCATAAGTCAACCGTTGACTTGAAGGCACCTCCATACACACATAAACAATGTTCCTGTAGACAGAAGATGAATCAAGATTGGACGTCTCCAACTTACCCTTTTCAATGTTTGGCAGCTTGGGTAGAGTACGACAGTACAGCTAAGTGACCAAATGAGGACTCTCAAAGTTTGGCAGCTTGGGTAGAGTACGACATTCAAGCCAAGAGACTTATGGATACACCAAAGATAAGTCTAATTCTAAAACATTTGCATATGTTTTACCTAAATATATAAACAAGGAGTTGAAATACCCCATAGAAACTGCATCTGGTCTAGTCTTGGAAAGATTGGTCTGGATGGTCCTTGTGGTCTCGGCCAACTCTATGTTTCTTTAAGTAGGATTCAACCTGGTTACTACTTCGATGAGTGATTACCAAGAAATACCAGGGACCGTTGGTTCTATTTCTGAGGATAGAACTGGCAAAATCATCTCTGAGTCTTCCTTGTCTAAGAAGTTCATGGGGCCACCATAAGTCAACTGTTGACTTGAAGGCACCTCCATACACACATAAACCATGTTCCTGTAGAGAGAAGATGAATCAAGATTGGATGTCTCCAACTTACCCTTTTCAATGTTTGGCAGCTTGGGTAGAGTACGACAGTCCAGCTAAGTGATCAAATGAGGACTCTCAAAGTTTGGCAGCTTGGGTAGAGTACGACAGTCCAACCAAGAGACTTATGGATACACCAAGGATAAGTCTCATTCTAAAACATTTGCATATGTTCTACCTAAATATATAAACAGGGAGTCCTAATACTCCATAGAAACTGCATCTGGTCTAGTCTTGGAAAGATTGGTCTGGATGGTCCTTGTGGTCTCGGTCAACTATATTTCTTTAAGTAAGATTCAACCTGGTTACTACTTGGATGAGCGATTACCAAGAAATAACAGGGACTGTTGTTTCTATTTCTGAGGATAGAACTGGCAAAATCATCTCTGAGTCTTCTTTGTTTAAGAAATTCATGGGGTCACCATAAGTCAACCGTTGACTTGAAGACACATAGGCACATAATATATAAACAGGGAGTCAAAATATCCCATAGAAACTGCATCTGGTTTAGTCTTGGAAAGATTGGTCTGGATGGTCCTTGTGGTTTCTGCCAACTCTATGTTTCTTTAAGTAGGATTCAACCTGGTTACTACTTGGATGAGTGATTACCAAGAAATATCAGGGACTGCTGGTTGTATTTCCAAGGATAGAACTGGCAAAATTATCTCTGAGTCTTCCTTTTCTAAGAAATTCATGGGGTCACCATAAGTCAACCGTTGACTTGAAGGCACCTCCATACACACACAAACAATGTTCCTGTAGAGAGAAGATTAATCAAGATCGGATGTCTCCAACTTACCCTTTTCAATCTTTGGCAGCTTGGGTAGAGTATGACAGTCCAGCCAAGTGACCAAATGAGGACTCTCAAAGTTGGGAGGAATCTTAAAATCCTCTCTGACTGTCCCACACAGGAAGTGAGGTTGTGGAAGAACAGCTGAACGGCATGATTTGCCAGAAAAGTGCAAGTCTCTCTGTTGTCCCACCCTCCATTCCCTGTTATTGTAGTCTATGCACCCCTTTATTAAATTTCCAGATGCTCCCCTAAAGCTTGTGGACAATTAAAGCTTTCTCTTCCCCTTAATGACAGGGTGCTTTACTTTTCCTCTTGACACCTCCCCAACATTAAAGTCAAGCTCTGGGAGCTACACCAGAGGGTAACCTTGCTGTATTATTGTCTTGGTTTGCTGACTCGGATTACAATTTTCTGTCTGGATTTTCCCTAGTTCAAATATTCCCAGATTGTTTGGGCAGGGATGGAAAAAAGTGACAATTATTCATCAACGGGGTTAAAAAACAGGTTCCGTGGCAGTCAAGAACGTCTCTTAGGAAGAATAAGTAGATCAGTGGGAACATCATACAATTTTCTGCGGGAGTTTGACATTTGTGAAAAATTCTCCACAAATTATTCAATTGTGAAAATATTGTTTCATTTTGGTGGCTATGAGCAATAAGATTAGCTGACCACAGAAAGTATATGTTTCTGAACTTGCTGTGAAATCAGGAAGCCATGGAAAATAGTGGACCCTACTGAAATTATGTATTTAGTTATTTATTTATTTCGGGCTTTTATATGTATGTATTTATTTTTTTTTACTTTTATTTGTATACCGCTGTTCTCAGCCCTTAGGCGACTCACAGCGGTTAACAACAGAGGTAGCAAAGATTCAATACTAATAACAACAAAGTATATAAAAACAATTAACATCATAACACACTAGACAATTATCAACAATAACCAATCAATGGCGTCCCATAACTAAAAACATGATCCGAACTCATCATCCATTGTTCCGTTCCTATATTCATTGTACTCATTGCACTGTCTATTCAAACGCTTGTTCAAATAACCAGGTTTTCACTTTCCTCCGGAATACCATTAGTGATGAAGCCGATCTAATATCCGTGGGAAGGGCGTTCCACAGCCGAGGGGCCACCACCGAGAAGGCCCTATCTCTCGTCCCCGCCAACCGTGCCTGTGTTGCAGGCGGGATCGAGAGCAGGACCTCCCCGGAAGATCTCAAAGTCCTAGTGGGTTCGTAGGCAGAGATGCGATCGGATAGGTAATTTGTAATTTGGGCCGGAACCGTTTGGGGCTTTATAGGCCAACGCCAGGACTTTGAATTGTGCCCGGTAGCAAATTGGTAGCCAGTGGAGCTGGCGCAACAGGGGGGTTGTATGCTCCCTGCGTGCCGCTCCTGTTAGTATCATGGCTGCCGAACGTTGGACCAATTGAAACTTCCGAGCCGTCTTCAAAAGCAACCCCACGTAGAGAGCGTATATCCCGTCCTATCTCAACCTCTGCAGAGGGACTCAGGACGGCTAACAAATCAGCACCCCATGGTGCCCACATCAAAAACATAGATACACAATTTAACGGTAATATAATAATAATATAAAACAGTTTAAACAGTATAAAACAATATAAAACAGTAGGGCTGGGAGGTTTCGTTCGTTAATTTCGTAATTCGTTATTGATTCGTATTTAAATTAGCATACGAACCGATAACGAACCATTTAGGAGCATCCAAATAACGAAACGAATTTTTTGATCAATTTTGGAATTGATTCGTAATTGATCCGTTATTGATTCGTAATCGTTTCGAAATCATTTCGTTATTATTTCCGTATGTCTGGTGCAAGTTTTATAGTTTTAGTTTGTTTTATCAGTGATAAAAAAATAAATTATCACACCAACAGCCAACAACAGAGGGAGAGGGAAGCTTCAGAAGTTCCCCCTGTCCCATTTGGAGGTTTTTTTTTGCGTATTGCGCAATCGCGTCCGCCATTAACGAATCAATTACGAAATTTACGAAATTTCGTAAATAACGAAATTTTTTAAAAGAAAATTTCGGAATTCTTTTAAAAAACGAAACGCAATGGACCCCTAAAAACGAAACGAGTTTAGAAACAAATTTTTCCATTGTTACCCAGGCCTATAAAACAGTATAAAAAATTATAAACGCATGGAGTACATGGATCAAGTCTCCGATAGATCCCCCCGCCTATGTGGGGTCCCCCAAGGTGCAATTCTCTCTCCTCTTCTCTTCAACATCTACGTTAGACCCCTTGTTAGTTTGGTATAGAGTTTCGGCCTGGACTGCTACCAATATGCGGATGATACCCAACTCCTTCTGTGCCTGGAACCTGGAGCAACGCCAATTCCAGATAATTTCACCCTTTGTCTGGAAGCTCTGTCGGACTGGCTACGTGCTAGCAGACTGAAGGTGAACCCAGCAAAGACTGAGATTCTCTGTCATGGCCACCTGACAGGTCTGACTCATCCGTTGCCCACCTTCGATAGTGCCACCCTTTCTCCATCGACCACTGTTAAGAGCTTAGATGTCATCCTGGATTCGCAACTGACAATGGAAGCTCAGGTCGCTGCTGCCAGCAAACAGGCCTTTTTCCATCTATGACACGCGAGGCAACTGGCACCCTACCTATCTGATGAGGCTCTGGCAACTGTCATCCATGCCACGGTCACGTCTAGGCTGGACTATTGCAACGCCTTGTATGTTGGCCTTCCTATGTCTACGACCCGAAAGCTCCATATTGTTCAGAATGCGGCGGCCAGGTTACTCACAAGAACGCCTATGAAATGCCATAGAACACCAGTGCTGCAACATTTACATTGGCTTCCAACTGAGTACCATGGCCTGTATGTTAGTTCTGACCTTTACAATTCTTTACGGCCAGGGTCCATCGTACCTTAGGGACCGCCTCTCCTTCTCCCATCATCAGAGATCACAATGACCAGCCCAACGTGACTTACTCTATATACCGGGTCCTGGAGAAGGGCATTTGGAAAGGACCAGGCGCAAATGGGCTTTCTCTCTTTCTGCCCCTGCCTTGTGGAATTCCTTGCCGCCCTCCTTGAGAGCCATGCGTGACTTAGGACCTTTTACTCTCGCACTTCAGACCTGGCTTTTTACTAGAGCATTCGATCTCTGTTAATTTTTAATTTCTGTATGTATGTATTTTATCTTTTACAATTTAGCTGTAAATCGCCTAGAGCATTCTCGGATGGAGGGCAATTAATAAGTAATTAAATATGATGATGATGATGATGATGATAAAAAATATCAATCAGTCAGCGGTCACCAGTTTAAATAATCATCCAAGGGGCAGTCCATCAGTTCTATATAAGTCAACACATCAGCAAGTCAGCCTACTCTCCAAAGGCCTAATTCCATAGCCAGGATTTTACTTGTTTCCGGAACATCAAGAGAGATGCAACGGATCTAATTTCACCCAGGAGGGAGTTCCATAGCTTGGGGGCCACCACAAAAAATGCCCTGTCCCTTGTCCCTGCCAGACGCGATTGCAACAACGGGGTAACAATGAGAAGGGTCTCTTCCAGATGATCTTAGGGCCCTAGGCAGATCATAGCGGGAGATAAGTTCGGACAAGTCATCTGGGCCAGAACCGTTCAGGGCTTTACAGGCCAAAGCCAGCACTTTGAATTGGATGTGGAAGCTGATAGGCAGCCAGTGGAGCTGGTGTAACAAGGGTGTTGTGCGCTCCCTGTACCCAGCTCCAGTGAGCAACCTGGCTGCCAAATGTTGGACTAGTTGAAGCTTCCGGGCAGTCTTCAGAGGCAACCCCACGTAGAGTGTGTTGCAGTCGTCTATTCGGGATTTAACAAGAGCATGGACTTCTGTTGGAAGTTACCATAGATTCTCGAACACAGGACATCTTCCTGAACTTCCCATGAAAACATGAAACCATGGTAAATAGTGAACCCTGCTGAAATGAATGGCTTCTGCTAGAAGCTGCCATACCATCTCAATGGTGGACCTATCCTTCTCTAGGGTATCTTCTCAAGGATTTACTGAGAAGACTCATCATAATGTCTAGCAGAAGTATACAATACAATCATTCAGAGCAGTGGTTCCCAACCTTTTTTGTCCAGGGACCACTTTGACCAGGAACCACTTGACCGGGGATCATTCTGACCAGAGACCACTCTCCAATATTAGTATCCAAAGGGTTACGAATCAGTTTTTGGTCAACTTCAGATTCGGTTTGGTTATTTGGGGTGCTGATTCAGAAAACTGCATTGGATAGACCACATCAGCTCTAGTTTCTGATATATAATGTATGCCATCCAATAGTCACCCACAAAAACCGATATTTAATAATCTAGAGTTGATGTGGCAGTAGTAATCTTTCGTGGGTAGTCAGCCTCTCCTCTCGAGACATCCCTTTTGCCTCGGCACTATAAGAGGGTTTCACGAAACCGGTCGCTCTTGTTGTTGCATGGCTTCAAGGCAATGGTGTAGTAATGGTGAGGCTGCTGACCATATTTTCATTCTTGTGGACCACTGATGTACATGGACCACAGGTTGGGAACCACTGATTTAGAGGATATTGACAATCCCAGTCATGAAAGTCCTTAATCGGAGCAGACCTTTAGAATCAATGGGGTTTACTAACATGTTGATTTATCATTGAGTCAACCAAGATGTCCATTGGATCCTGATTCGGGTAGATCTCAGCTCATATCTGGTTTCTGTCTAGATTTGAAATGTCTATCTACTAAGATGAATCTGTTTTGAGGTATGTTGTTCAACACCGTGGAGAACTTCTTTTCATTATCCACGGCCTTCCCCAAGCCACCCAGTCCTGTTCCATCTGGATGTTATGTTCTGAGCATTCAAGTGTTCCTACCTGAAAAACAGAGTAGTAATAATTTATTGCTACAAATATAAATTGCTGCAGTCTTTTAATTAAAACATCTTAATGGTTTGCAAAATATACAGGTGGTAGTTGGGCATTCCATCTTAATTTCAGGTACTAATTTAAGCTTCCAAAGCTTCTGGATGGTCCACAACAACCTGAAGGGTTCCTACAGATGAGAATTGCTACCCTTGTCTTGGAGTCAGTTGTCATCCTTCAAGTTGTGTCTTCTCAGGAAGGCCTCCTCCTTCTTATTCATCCCTTACACCAGATCAGGGCTTCTATGAGGCCTTCCATGACCTCTAGGTGTCAGCTCTGGCCAAACTACACATCCCACCTGTCCTGGGATAGATGGGAATTATTGTGTAAGACATCTCAAAGATCAAAGATTGGGGATGGATGAACTGATCAAATTTGCTGGTAGAAGTGTGTCTTGGAGATACTGGCAGATGCATTGTCCTTGAGTGGTCTAAGTTCCACTCTGGGGGAACAGGTGGCATACAAATGGAAATATAAATGTATTTTGTGTTCAGGCTTGGTTTCCATCTCCAAGGAAATTCATTTTATATGTGTAAATATTCCCAAATCCAAAACACTTCCGGTCCTAAGCGTGTTGAATAAAGGATACTGAGTCTGTAATGTCAAAACCTATATTCTTTGGGCCTCGTTGGCTTCTTAGAGCATCTTGGGATCGGATTTCCAATGAGAAGAAATTATGGAAGTATGGTGAAGACCAGACTTCTGGCTGGTCTTCACCAAGTCATATTACAAGAAAAGCAGGTCTTCCTTGAAGAAACATTGCAAAGAAAACCCTATGAGAAGGAGCCTGCAAATTGTAGTTGACCTAAAGACATGCTACATGGTGACAGGACATTTTCATGGAATCGGTAGTAGACTATTTCATGGTTGCCACCAGTCAAGAGGCTTTCAGTGAAACCATGGAGAAGTCAAGGACAACCATCGACCCGTATTGATTCTGCAGTGCCTACCCATCCCAAAAATACATGCACAGACACAAGGATAATTATCATTTCAGCATTTCATTTATTAAAGGAAGAACCTGGGGATTTCCATAGCCCAGGGAGAGGAGAAGGAGACCCACACCCATGTTTCCAACGCAATCCGTCACATCTCTTTTTGTTTCTCAGGACTTTGTGGAATCAGTTTGGCAAAAAGCAAAAAGCAAAAGGAAATACATAGAGAAGGGGGATGTTTTGTGCAAGAGGCCGGCACAAAGCTTCTTCACGGTTTTGACTGGCCAACAAGGAAAGGAAGATGGTCATCGGACAGGTCCTCAAGGTGGCTGTCGTTGACAGTGAGATGGTTCTGGCTGTTGGAATGTCCATGCCGGACCTCATAGAGGTTCAATTCCGGAGCTTTAATATCCGCCACCGCCGCAACATCCGCCGCAACATCCACCACCGCTACGTCCCATACTGACTAAATAGAGGCAGCCGCCACCGCCGCAGGATTGGCCACAGCAGGGCTGGCAGCAGCCACCACCACCGCCACATGACAAAGGCATACACATGACTGATGGCTGGTTTTGGCCACTACCGTATGAACAGTTGCCCATTGCTGATAAGGAAGGACGAGCCTACAAAAAAGGGAGGAGGAATTATTTTTGGACTGAAACAAGTGAAGTCTGTCTTCTCTGGAAATCTGTAACCCCAAATGCTCCCAAACACTCTATGCTAGATGTCTAAGAGAGCGGCCCCTTTGATGTCTGATGGTCCCACAAGCACATAATTAATTTTATTTAAAAATATTTGGTATACATTTACCCTTAGGTTGTGTATACAGGGTGCATAGGAACTATAAACATATTTAGAATGTAGACATGGGTCCATCTCCAAGAAACTGATGGTCCAAAAGCATCCAAAGCAATTTGAATAAAGGATACTCCATCTGGATAAACCATATAAGGGTTCACCAAGGGTCTTGATAGATGTTGAGCCAACTACAGGCAGACACAAGTCCTGATACGTTTAGCACCCAAAACATATCTTCACTGTAGAATGAACACTGTTCAACATCACTTGAACTTCCGTGGCTCAACCCTGGAAGTTGTAGTTTGATGAGGAACCAACACTCTTTGATGGCTAAAGAGCACAGAGAACTACAGCTTCCATGACTCTATAGTAGTGATCCATGGAAGCGCAAGTGACTTCAAAATTGCATTCATTCAACATTGTAGATGAACCCTTAGTGTTGTTCAACATTGTAGATGAACCCTTAGTGCAGTGGTTCTCAACCTGGGGATCCCAGATATTTTTGGCCTACAACTCCCAGAAATCCCAGCCAGTTTACCAGCTGTTAGGATTTCTGGGAGTTGAAGGCCAAAAACATCTGGGGACCCCAGGTTGAGAACCATTGCCTTAGTGCCATTCAACATTGTAGATGAACCCTTAATGTCATTCAACATTGTAGATGAACCCTTAGTGCAGTGGTTCTCAACCTGGGGTCCCCAGATATTTTTGGCCAACAACTCCCAGAAATCCCAGCCAGTTTATCAGATGGTAGGATTTCTGGGAGTTGAAGGCTAAAAACATCTGGGGACCCCAGGTTAAGAACCATTGCCTTAGTGTCCTTCAACATTGTAGATGAACCCTTAGTGACTATGGACAGTAGTACTTTGTCATCTTCATATGTTGTATTCTGGCCCATATTCATATGCTGTACTTTGACCCCAGAGTATAATAGAACCATTTTCCTCTTCCCTTATCAAACTGAAAACTCCAGAATCTTCAATGGAGATGAATACTTATGAAATTCAACTATATCTAGCAAGCCCCACAATGCTATTTTTATCATACTCTAACACAGTTCTTGCTAGGAGGAACATAAGAAACAATACAGATGTATACTAGAAGAACTTGCAGAAGAAATGGGTTCAGACCAAGTCTGCTAGAAGGTGAATCTAGCTTACCTTGTTCAGGAGTAGACTGGTAGGTTGAGGAACCTGAAGATCGAATGAGGAGGACTGGGACAGTGGACCTTTTATACAGGTCCATGTCCTGTTTGCAGAGGAAGTGAGACATTATCAAGAAAAAATGTTCACTTCCTCATTAACTAAGGGGATTGTCCACCTCCCTCTGGGTAATGCTCTACATTTTTGTGCATAGATGCTGGTTTGGATCACATATCCCATTAGGGGACAATGTCACAAAATGGATGGTTGCATCTAATAACAGTGTAATCTCCAGCTGTGTCCACAGGGCACTTGTTTATTATAGATATGAGTACATTTGTGCTCTGAGCCATAGAGAAGAATGCATTCACCCAAAGCCCTCTGTGATCCTTCCAAAAGATGTCCTCCATTCATGGTGGGTCCCATGACTTACGTGAATGACACTAGTTGGGATTATAATCTTTGTGGCTCCTCAACCTGAATGTCTTATTTTCATTGTGATTGTGCGAACTAATACTAGAAGACAATCTCCTCTTGGGAACTTCTAGGAAAGGGCTTTGCTGTATTTAGGAATGTACGCCTTTGCTAATTTCCATCACACACCAGGAAGAAGAGAAGAATGTAAAGTACTCTCCCCACTGGGCAAACCTCTGTGCTTTTTACTCATTGGTTTCACAAAATAAACAACCATCATGGAAACAGGAAATTCGGGATCAAATGGCCCAAGAGATTACAATAGTAGGCAGAGGAGGACACGTGAATATGGGGCACACCATGATGAATCAGATCTTTTTGGAGCACTAGATCTGGCAATCTTCTCAGAAGCTCGGGGCATAGAAGTACTCACATCTGTAATATTGCAAGAGCCCCGTGGACATAGCTGGAGATCACACTATTATTAGTTGGAACCAACCATTTTGTGACATATTGTCTTAATGAGATATGTGATTTAGGTCTTCATGTGCAAAAACATTGCGCATTATCAAGATGGAGGTGGCCTCCTTCCAGTCTGCTGGAAATGGCTCATAGTTCTGCCAGTTCTTTCAGTACCCTTGGATGTAATTCATCTGGTCTTGGAGACTTGGGTTAATTTAGATTAGCCAGATATTCTCATACTCCTCCTTTACTTATTTTGTGCTGCTTTCCCCCTATGCAGTGGTTCCCAACCTTTGGGCCTCCAAGTGTTTGGGACTTCAGCTCCCACAGTTCCTAACAGCTGGTAAGATGGCTGGGATTTCGGGGAGTTGAAGTCCAAAACACCTGGAGGCCCAAAGTTTGGGAACCACTACATAGCATCCTCTGCTCCATCCTTCCCAAGTTGAGGACCATGGCATTGATCTTTTGGGAGAAGACTGAGACAAAGAAGGTGCAGTTCTCCTGTTAACGTCACACAATTTCCTGTACGTGGTGCTCAACTATGTTCTTAGGTTGTGCCTTCTACCATTCATCCTCTCAGGATCCATTGGCTAAAGTTGCTTGGATTTGCAATCCAATGACATCTGGAAAAAGCCATGTTGTCCAAGGAAAACCAACACCTTGCCCACTTGTTGTATCCCTCGTTGTCCGAGGAAGATTGTCCTCCAAGTTCGGTGTCCTGGCGGTGAGTCCATAGGTGACTGTGGAGCCCTATTCTTGATCTGCATCTTCTCCTGCAGTGAGGGCATTGGTTTCCAGGTGGAAGGTGGTCCCATTCGGGGTTGGCTTTATGTGCCTTCCTCTTGGCATGTTTCTCTCTTTCACCCTCCATTTGTGCCTCTTCAAATTCTACAGCACTTCTGGTCACAGCTGACCTCCAGCTGGTGTGCTCAAGGGCCAGGGTTTCCCAGTTCTCAGTGTCTATGCCAGAAATTTTAAGGTTGGCTTTGAGCCCATCTTTCAATCTCTTTTCCTGCCCACCTACATTCCGTTTTCCATTCTTGAGTTCGGAGTAGAGCAACTGCTTTGGGAGATGGTGGTTAGTCATCCGGACCACGCAGCCGATCCAGCAGAGTTGATGGCGAGGACCACCACTTCAGTGCTGGTGGTCTTGGCTTCTTCCAGCATGCTGACATTTCTCCGCCTGTCTTCCCAGGAGATTTGTAGGATTTTCCGGAGGTAACACTGATGGAATCGTTCCAGGAGTTGTATGTGACATCTGTAGACAGTCCACGTCTCGCAGGCATATAGTAGGATTAGGAGGACAATAGCTTTATAAACAAACCCCTTGGTCTCCCTACGGATGTCCTGGTCCTCAAACACTCTCTGCTTCATTCAGAAAAATGCTGCACTTGCAGAGCTCAGGCGGTGTTGTATTTCAGTGTCAGTGTTGACATCTATAGACAGTCCACGTCTCGCAGGCATATAGCAGGGTTGGGAGGACAATAGCTTTATAAACAAGCACCTTGGTCTCCCTACGGATGTCTCGGTCGTCAAACATTCTCTGCTTCATTTGGAAAAAGGCTGTACTCGCAGAGCTCAGACAGTGTTGTATTTCAGTGTCAATGTTTTGTGGAGAGGTGGCTGCCAAGGGAGTGGAAATAGTCAACATTTTCTCTACTTGTTGTATATACCTGATATGAAGATGTGGGTTGCCATGTGGACAGACACCACTGTGTGGTTATTCTATTACTTTGTGTGGGACTTGGGGTTTAAAGGCTTTGAGTGGCCATTTTCTTGGGACTCTCTTTTTCTTTTTGTGTCATTGTTTTTAATTCTATTGTTTGTCTGGGAGAGGAGTGGTGAAGGAGTCTTAAAGGCTTCCTCTATAGAAATTGGTGGTGGAAAGAAGATTATAGGAATTATTGGGTCTGACGATTTGTATAGAGTACAGGAAGGAAGATAGGAATATTGAGGGGTTGAGTATGTAGTCTGGGTCCGATGAGTATCCTGTTCCAGATTGATGCTTGAAGGTTAAGTATGTAGGAGAGCTGAAGGAGAAGGAAGGTTTTATTTATTTATGATTTATTTACAACATTTATACCCTGCCCTTCTCAACCCCTGAAGGGACCCAGAGCGGCTAACGCTGGCAACAATTCGATGCCACAATATCACAATATAACAACAATATAAAAACCATAAATACACAGTAGACTAAAAACAATAACATTACTTATGCAGTCATATAGCGGTTTCCATTATCATAACAATCATATGGTCCAGTTCAATGTCCAAAGTGCAGTTGTGATTTCGGTTTTTTCTTTAAAGGAAAGGAGGGAGGACGCCGATCTAATCTTGCTGGGGAGCAAGTTCCACAAGCGGGGGGTCACCACCGAGAAGGCCCTGTCCCTCGTCCCCACCAGACGCGTTTGAGACCCTGGTGGGACCGAGAGCAGGGCCTCCCCAGTAGATCTTAAGTTACGAGGTGGAACGTAGAGAGAGATACATTCGGATAAGTAAGCTGGGCCGGATTTTTACAATGAGCTTTATAATAGAACGGGGGTATGCAGCATAATATATCGTCATCCCCAACAGATGCATTTGCGAGGCTGGTGGGACCGAGAGCAGGGCCTCCTGGGTGGATCTTAAACTACGAGGTGGAACGTAGATGGCTGGAGCCGTATAGGGTGAGAATATGAGTATGTGAGGTTGGGAATGGAATTAAGAAGGTTATGAGGAAGATAATTAAAGAAGAAGGAGGAGTGGAAGGTTTTGGTAAGTTAAGAAGGTAAGAGTTGGTAGTTTATGTAGTTGGTTAAAGAATGAGGATAATAGGAAGGTAGGAACATGGATACTCATAGGAACTCTTATCCCATCTGTGTGAACTGCTGGGGAAATATATTGGTCTCATTTTCAACAATTGGAGACTTTTAATAAAAATCTGGATCGTCTATTCACAGGGATTTCCCTTATCATGAATAATAATAATATCCATCTTGTCTCCTGCATATGTAATCAATCAGGGATTCCTCCCCCCAACATCAACTGCTGCTCTGGGCCAGAGTGAAGAGAGCGGGGGCCAGGGGACAGTTCCACCTTATCTCCTGCCTATGTCATCAGTTCGGTACCCCTCCCTCCAGCACCAACTGCCTCTCTGGGCCAGAGTGAAGAGAATGGGGGCCAGGGGACTGTTCCATCTTGTCTCCTGCATGTGTCATCAGTTGGGGGGCCCTCCCCGCAGCACCAACTGCTGCTCTGGGCCAGAGTGAAGAGAGAGGGGGCCAGGGGACAGTTCCACCTTGTTTCCTGCATATGTCATCAGTTGGGGGCTCCCCCCCCCCAGCACCAGCTACTTCTCCGGGCCAGAGTGAAGAAAAGGTGGGCCAGGGGACAGTTCCATCTTGTCTCCTGCCTATGTCATCAGTTCGGGACTCCTCCCCGCAGCACCAACTGCCGCTCTGGGCCAGAGTGGAGAGTGAGGGGGCCAGGGGACAGTTCCATCTTGTCTCCTGCATATGTCATCAGTTGGGGACCCCTCCCCCCAGCACCAACTGCCGCTCTGGGCCAGAGTGAAGAGAGAGGGGGCCAGGGCACAGTTCCATCTTGTCTCCTGCCTATGTCATCAGTTGGGGGCTCCTCCCCCCAGCACCAACTGCCGTTCTGGGCCATAGTGAAGAGAGAGGGGGCCAGGGGACAGTTCCATCTTGTCTCCTTCATATGTCATCAGTTGGGTTGATGAACATGAACATGAGCCAAAAATGTGATTCAGCAGTTGTGATTCAACCAATGGGATTTTGGGCTGCAGGAAGTCATGGATCCCCTCTAGTCTGCTTTGGCGAGATCTCACTAGGAATAACATTGTGTCCAATTCTGGGCATCACAATTCGAGACTGGAACTTATCCAGAGGAGGACATGGTTTCCTCAAAGGTCTGGAAACCATGTTTGTTGAGGAGCACCCAAAAGAACTGCTTATGTTTGGCCTTCAAAAGGAAAGGTTGAGCTTAGATATGAGAGACATGCTTAAATCTTTGAAAAGACGTAATATGGAAGAGGGAGCACTCTTGTTTCACCCTGACCTGGAGACTAGGAGCAATGGGATCAAATGATAGGAAGAGAGAGTCCACCTGAACATTAGGAAGAACGTTCTGACTGTAAGAGCTCTTCATCAGTGGAATATTCTGCCTCAGAAACTGGTGGAGGCTCCTTCTTTGAAGACTGAATGGCCATTTGTTGGGGCTGCTTTGATTGTGCTTTTGCTTCATGGCAGGGGGTTGG